AGAGAGAGAGAGAGAGAGAGAGAGAGAGAGAGAGAGAGAGAGAGAGAGAGAGAGAAGTACCAATGCCTGGACACGTACCCCATTCGTATTGTTTCGGTCTTTAAATACGGATATTTAAAGACTGTCAACAAAGAATACATATTCAATGTATATATATATATATATGTATGTATGTATGTATATATATATATATATGTATGTATGTATGTATATGTATATATTACGCACAAAAGTTTAAATATTTATATTTAAAGAACAAAACAATAAGAAGATTCAGAGTTGGATATTCTGTTACATTATTTTTATCATATTGCTCCATCAAAGAATACATATGTGTCTTAGAAAAGAATGTCAGGAGTATTTTTAGTATCTCTGTAATATATCACATTGCCAATTCAAATTGATTACAAAATCCCGAGGAACGTGCCAAGTGTGAATTCCCTAAGCGTCTGCAAATGTAAATTGGCATTATCGAACAAACGAGAGAGATAGTTTGTGCTGTCGAGAATCACGTATTGCTTGATCGCGTGGATATAATTCCACATCGACTTGTATCCTTAATCATATTACACGAACGATAAAGAGAAAATGTTTACGTGCGCGAAAATGCTGAAAGTAAAATCGCGCACACCCGCGAAATATTCGACACATCCGCGTATTCGCCGAGCTAAAAAATATTCCAATGTAATCGCGCAATCTTCTCTTTCTCCGTGCCAAGTTTCGCCTGCAGGAACCTGTCTGGGAAACCGACGCACCTGCCCGATTCGGACAGGAATTTCGCGCGACTCAAGTAGGTCAGGGCTTACCTCGGAGCGCCTTTTTAGTCGCCATCCCGTAGCGAGACACTGGTAATTTAGGAGAAACCATCGTAAATTCTCATCCTTATGATTCTAAATCCACATAGAAATTTCTTAAGAGAAAGATAATACTTTTATGATATCAAACAGAGAATCACATTTTTATCATATATCAACTATTCTATTGTATTCAATAGAATAAAATACCAAAAAACAAAATATTTTTAAAGCACTTTGAAGATTTTACTGAATGATGAATTAATTTCAACATATTTCATTAAATTATAATGTAAAATATAAGGATCAGAAAAGATATTGTTGAAAAACTTTGGGTTTCGTCATTTAGACTCGTGTTAATAGTCGTTACTTCAGACTTGCCTCATATAAGATATTCAAATTTGAATTTAGAGTTAGGATGTAAATTTTTCAGCTGAATCGCGATTACAAGTGTAATATGGCATATATTATGTAATTCAAAGTAAAAACTCAAATCTAATTGTAAATTTATATCTGAGTATCTCACATGGAACAAGTTACAAGTAATGACCACTAACACGGGCCTTCAGAGTCGCGTGTCTGAAAGATTACATTTCTTTCCAAAATTCATAATTGTTTTGGGAAGTTAGGCTGGATCCTAATTAGATCCGAGAAAATTTTCTATGCAGGGACGGGCATGTTTTTCTTCACACTATTGCCGCTCGAAGCTTTATTACTCTCCCCGATCTTTTTTCTCCTATCGTCGACAATAATCGCGCTCGTAAAACAACGCGAGCTCGACATCCCCGCCGGAAAAAAAAAAAAACATCTCAACATCCACGTCCACGCAAACTTTAACCGACGACGGTCCGCGCGACCACTTTCACCCTCCGCTACGTGAGCTCGCGCTACGTGCATCATCTCGTCGCGGTATCCGTGAATTTCGCGCGTAAGAAAAGGTGAAAGGTGCGTCTGCATCGTACCGAGGAAAGACCGAAGCGTTATCGCGTTATGTGACACTTAAAAACGCTATTCATCTCGCACGCCAACATGCCGTCTCGGATGTGTGATTCTCTCACGTGTTCTATCCGGTTCCGCCGTCGTGCCATCCAGGAAATACTGTTTCCTAGTTTCTACTAGTCAAAATGCGCGCTGGAACAGGATGGCGACTTTCATTTCGACGAGACGAGCAAGAGTTTCGAATGGGGCAAGAGTCAGGCGGAAGAGCAGCGCAGGTCGTCGTTCTCGGTCCACAGACTGCGATTTGCTTTTTCTCACTTAAACCGGATGTCATTTAAAATACGAAAGTTCCAACGCGAAAGAAACATTCGTATATTACACGTGAAAGGTGAAGAACTTGTGCCCGAGGCAGAAACGCGCAATTCCAAATGACCAATTTATATTTCTCGGTCGTGAAAATTGTTTAACGGACGTCTGGATAGTTACGACATCCATTATTCGCTGACATTGCCATTCATAGGCCCGCTAATTATGCGGAATGATTGAGCGCGAAGAAAGTTGTATGATCCCCTCATACTCGGGTCTCGATTGACTCTTGTTCTCTCACGCCCTTGAAAAGTGTTAATCACCGAATAGTTTTAGACACGATTGATCCAAGTTATGTGAAAGATCCCTCCGAGAAGATTCCGATGAACGCGCAAGAAAATAACGCATATTTGATGCACACGCGATAAAAAAAAACTTTCCTGCAAATCTAAATATTATTTTGAATGCATAATCATGCAATTTCGTTGAAGCTCCTTTCAACGCAACCTAAATCGAAACTACTGAGACGAACTGATAACAGATGTTGCTCCAGAGCAATAGTACTAAATAAATGCGTCCTGCATTGATTGTCCTTGCATATGGCTCATCAGAAATCGATGTTGCTTGAGAACAACATTAAAACAAATAAAGGCTTCAAGCCAAATAAGAACTTTAAACGTGTGAAATGATTCGAAACGATAAGAAATATGTAAAAAAGAAAAATTCAATCACGCGAAATAACACACTCTTGAATTTACACAGTGTGTCGTTCTCGCGAATAGACCGCGACGATGTGGCTTCAAGATCGAAGTTAGAAAGCCAGTGACGCGGGCCAAATTGACGCAGCGATTACCGAAATTATACTATTCGCACCACGCGGAAGAGGATTACGTGGTGGAGGATTGGGAATGAAATCGCGGAAGCTTTCGCTTTTGCGGAAGAGCGCTTCTATTATATCGTCGGACGCGACGATCAGTCGCCGGTAATACTGGTGCGTATCATCGCTGGTTACGCTCGAATCGATCTATTGTGCGTTCCTCAACGATGCGTGTATCACGATTACGTCAACTGAGACGCGCAACGATGCTGCGGAATTGCGTGAAACAGAGCTATTCTTGCTCTGTTGTGTCGTCTTTTTTTACCTTACTTTTTCGTTTTTACAACAGGTTACCGCTGCTGAAATTACGTTCAATTGTTTCTATGCACGTGCGTGTAAATAGAACTAAAAAGAGGTGAAGAAATTAAATCTTATATTGTTGAATTTTTTTCGAACAAGTTTCACACGCGACAGTCTCATCCCGACACCGGGGTTGTTTCAAAAAACACAGTGAACTTGAACCGAATTCGATACTTTTTTTAATGAAATTTGGAACAATCTTTGCCGAGCCAGATTTTTACCTTTGCTTCCCTTCTTCTAAATCAAATATGTAAAGAAGTTAGATTTAAAAAATTTGTACATTGTAGTAATAATTTAGTCTTACTTAATTCAGTAGTTTTTATTTATTAAAATTAGTTTCAATTAATTTGGTTTATTAAGTTGAGGTAACATCTATGCCTGATGTTCAGTTAGATGAGATCTGAAATGATTGTGTGTCTACCGTTTGATTGAAAAACATTTCTAAATCTAACTTCTTTGATTTAGAAGAAAGGAAGCAAAAGACAAAAATATCTAACAATGTTATTTCCAATAGCTTTCATTAAAAAAGAAAGAAAAAGAGCATAGGAACCGGATTCGAAGCTGTAGACTCTCTTCAAGTATGAAATTTCATTTAACCCCACTGTGCGGCATATTCGCGCTGATTAATTAATTCGTGTGCTACTATCTTATGTCACAACGTGAGTTAATCGCGGAGGACCAACGGTGAAATTGAGCGAAAGTTGTTAAAACCGGTAAAATGCCAATGTGGAGCATAAGATGAAGCGTTATTGAACGTGGGCAACTATCGTGCGCAACTTTCGGGCACACATCGGTCATAAAACGAAAGCGACAAAATTAGAGTGAATATGTGGCGTACGTGACGAGATTGTGAAATAATTTCCGGCATTCGGTCTTAATTGTGCAAATTCGCATTTGCATCCTTTGACGTTTAGAAATAATTTGCAATTTTAATTCAGACATGCTGAAACAACATTAGAATACTAATTGTATAAGCTATTTTAAGGAGATACAAATATATAAGTCTTGCGTCGCTCTTGACTTTGTCGAAATTATTCCTTGACCAATATTTCGATGAACGTCGATTAATACGGAATTGCAAAACTAGGCCAAGTATCTCGCAATTCATCGGCGAAAGAAAACGCCCGGCGCTTCTACGGCATTTTATTTGTCTCGGAAAGACAATCCCGCGTGTCGTTTTCGCTGCTAATCAAACGGAGAGAAGCATAGAATAGAAAGCATGTGTCGTACTACAAATTGAGTTGTACAAGTCAAAAACTGAAGACTGCGTTTGCTTACATACTTGAGCCGCGCCCCACTCGCCCCAGGCGTAACCTACTTTACAAAAGAATGTATTTCTAATGAAACGTCGCCGAATATGTCAATCGTTGAAACCTACTAATTAACATTAGCAGCGAGAATATTCTCCGTTATTCGAGAGACTGTGCGGCCTCAAATATACGAAACGTATTCGAGGCAATGAGATATGTCCTATTTAAAATATATTTTTC